TGAGAATACCGACTAATTTGTCAATCGAAATGTTTTCGTTTTCAATAACCTTTGGGTCACTTTCTTCACTATCGGAAGCGAATTATAATGACGAGGAACTTGATTTAAATCATATCAAAGACGGAGTACATCGAGACGAAATACTACGCTTAGTACGGAATTATAAACCAAATAAAATAAAAACATCTGCCCTGAAGATAAGGATAGTGCTGACAGATTAACTTCCAATCCGCGGCGTGAAATTGATAAACAGATTTGGATTTCAAAACATACTTTCATTTTGTAGATACAAATTACATTAGTAAATATATATCGGAAATTCTATTTGACATATCTTTCTAATCTTCATAATCTAATAATGACGTTTCTGCCCCCCCCCCTCTGCCGCAGAGCAGCGTGAAATGATAAACAGATTTCGGATTTCAAAACATACTTTCGCTTTGTAGTAAATATATATCGGAAATTCTATTTGACATAATCGAAAGTTCAAGCTTACTTTTATAAAATTGCTCTAACAGTCTGCAAAAAAATAATAAGCCGGATCCAATTCGAAGATTAAGGAACAACGCAATCTGCAACATTAACTGAATTAGATAACTTTAGCTTAGCGTATAACTCCGTTACACATTAAACGCGCATGCGCACAAACATATTCGCAGCCGTAAGGGTCTTACGTGCTCTCGTAAACGCCTGTGCGCATGCGTGAACGCGACGCATGTGCAGAAAGTTTGTAGCTTTGAGGTCCGGATTATAGATCATTCCAGATTATGGGTGTCCGAATTAACGACTTTTGACTGTAGTATGTGGTCAAACTTCAAAATAACATTAATTGGTATTTAGTTCATAGTTATGAAAAAATGTAAGTATACTCTGTTGGCAAGAATATAAAATACATTCCACCAACAAAATTATATGCGAAAATTAAAGGAAAACTTTAGAATATTTGCATTTTCATTCTTTGAATGTGCTGTTTTTCTTAGAATAATGTACTGTTTCCTCTTGAAATTTGTTGTTTGTTGGTAACTTTTTTTCAAATTTTTCCTTTTTCCTCAAAAATACTTACAGAATAATTTCTAGTTCATCCGTATTTCTAAATTTCATTCCTGTTATTAGAATAAATTAGTATTGTGAATTTTTGATTAAATTTTGAAAAAAAAATTATTAATTTTAATTTAAAGAAAAATCCAGAAATTTTGTTTAGAAAAGTCATATTTTATTTGCATCTGATATTACATTATTTATGTATATTTTGGAATTGCACTTGAAGTTAGTTAAAGCGAGTTTTACTGATCGTTCTTGTTTTTGTACTGTGTTTGGCTTTTGCCACCATAAAAGTTAGCAAAGTGACATTTCAGAATGAATTAAAAACTCTTGTCATAATGAATTAAAAACGCCTTTCTTGTAAGCTAAATATTCTTATGCTCAGCTAAAGTTTTTGCATTATAAGTTTGCCCTGATTTTTTTCAAATTTAAATACATATATATAAGAATAATGCAGTAGAAATGCTTCCTATCATTCTAAAATTTGGCAAAAATTTTAAAGTGAAATTTTTTGATGATTTTTTAATAGGAATGTGAGTGGACAGATGGCATTATGAATTTTTTATTTTTTAATGTATCTTACCTTTTGAGTATTTTTGGCTTTTATTAAGTTATTATGTGAAAAAAATAGGGGAGATGGAAAATTAATCCTTGCGTATTATACTTATTCAAAAGAAAACACTTATATTATTTAAAAGAGAAAAATATTTTTCTGTAACTTCTTTTAGTCATAATGGTACTTGATTCAGTATGTACAGTACCCACTACATATTAAAACCACTTTCATTTCAAACATATTTCAGTTATTATGTAGTTGAGTTTAATAGATGGTGACTTGAGTATTGCATATTGTGATATCAGCTTAAAGTTTAGCTAAATGATCTTATCTCAATTAGTGATAACAGTTAATCTGATAATTAATACCTTAAATAATAATTAAAAAATTAAGGTTAAAATTAAATTGATATAGCAATTTGGAAATTTTAAAGTTGTTCTTTTGTTGTGTCAATCTTTCTTCCAGAATTCTAAAGGAACTGACACCTCTTTATTTAATAAATAAACAATACACAATTGACTTCGTTTTTGCACTTCGTAAAAAGCTTTTTGTCAATTTTTTTTCTTTTTGTTAAGTAAAATACTTGCAGAGGCGTAGCTAAGGTCTTCAGCGCCCGGAGACACCTAAAGATTTTGTGCCCTTTTCTGTGTTCCAAGAATGGAAAACATTTCATTTTGAAATGTGCATCATCTATTTGACCCCCCCCTGGATGCTGTGCTCGGGGACGGATGTCCCCCCTTGCCCCACTCTATCTACGCCACTGAATACTTGTAACATTATTATTACACTCAATTTTCGGAACTGAAAACTCAAATCGGTTTCTTCATTCTCTGACCGATGTTTAATAATTTTTCTTTATTTCATGAGTTAGTTCTTGTGTTTTTTAATTACTGTCTAATTTTTTTAGAAGTTAAAAATGCTAGAAATACAAATTTCCCACAGGTAATTGTTGCAGTGAATTGCTGTTCTTTTGACCATATTCAGCTGACTGTGAATATTAACTCAAAATTTTTTGTTCACATAATTTTTTATCCACACTTTTTTGATGGTATTCTCATATCTAAATTTGAAATTAAGCCACTACTTGATGTCATCAGTATATTGCTATATCACACTTATGTGTAATTCGTGCTAAAGCCCTCTTCTTGGAAACAGTTTCACGGTTGATCAGAAAATACGTGAAGTACCAAAAATTTTATAAGTACATACCAAATTTTAAACTATATAAAAAAACTTGATCTGTCTCTGTTAATTTCCTGTTGTACACCAATAGTTTTTCAATTGTATTTTATCATATATTGCAGCACATTCTAAAAATGAAAATTCATAACTTTCCTCTGTGATCCATGAGATATTGGCTACGGTTAGCAGTTCCTCTATGGCTTCTTCTAAATATGAATCTTCTTCCACATTTTTAAAAGCAGTTGTTAAATATGTTGTTGTGATTCCTCATCATACATCGACTTGCATAGTATACAGCAAATATATTGACTTAGTTTTCTCTATCAAAGTACATGCATTTTTGTAAGTTTCAATTATGCTTACTTTTTTGAATGACATCTTTTCTGTAATGGCATTTGAAAACTTTTTTAATATTTTGGTGAGTGAAGCTGAATGATAGAAGTTATTTGTAGGAAGAAATACCATTTAGTGTTTGTGAGAACAAGATCAAGGTGGTGTACAACATCTATCTTTAAGAGTAAAGCTTTTATTTATTTGAAAAAAGAATAATAAATAAGAAACAAACAAAAAATATAATTTTTTATCCATGAGTTCCTGTAATAAGTAATTGGAGGAAAATTCTTAACACCTTTAAAACATCGAGGTCTCTGCCTTTTCCAGTAATCATTGGTGTCTTCTTAATTGTTGCATTCATAATACAAATTAATAATATTATAACTTGTTTCTTCAGTTACTGTTTCATTTTTAAACATTAATGTATGCTGTTGTACTGCTATATGAAACAGAGCAGTTTCATCTAACTTATGAAATTTGTGTGGCCAGAGTATTACTTTAGCAACTCTGACAAATTGTCTTTCATCTAGTTATAAGCTGCATAGTGATCTGCTTCTTAATTTTTAATGAACAATATTTTTTCTTTCTTTTTCTCTTGTGATCTATTCATCAGTTTATGTAAAATTAACTTCTAGCATTTTAGCAAATTCCACTATTTTTGTGGTCAAAAGAGTTCTAAAAGTCTTTTTTGGTGTTTATAGTTTGAAAACAATTCTAGAAAAGTAGTTTCAATGTCTCTTGATTTTTCTTCATTTTTATGCTTCCTTTCAGGTAATTGCATTTTTTTAATTAATTGTTCGGTAATTGTTTAAGTAAATTGCAGGATGTTGTTTGGGAAATTTCACAGTTTGTAGTTAAAGTCAGCTGTTTCTTTTTTGCTGCACTTAACGGAGAGCATCGTAATAGCTTAACAATTTATCATTTTCTTTTAAGTTTAAATCTTTTCACTTAGACTTTTTTGACATGTTATGCACATAGCAAATTAAAAAAATACTTCTTCCAGTGATTTGTTTAATCTCAGAATTCATTTTTCTAGCTAGTAGAAAAATTGCATATTGTTTGTTAAATCATCCCCCCCCATGGTTATAGGTATAACCAGGGATTTCTTTTTCTTCAACCAACAGCACTGCCATTCAAAGTATGATAATGCAAAGTGCTTTAAGAAGCTTTCGTACACTATGTTGCAGGTTTAATATATGTATTCCACTGGGAAAATTTTGAATGAATAGGATGCAGAAGTAATACTTCCATAGCCTGTCAGCTGGCATTCAAAAGGAAAATCAGGATTTATTTAAGCATCACCTTTTCTTTAATTCTAGAGAACACTCATTCATTTGTAAAGCTACTTTGCTTTTGTTAACCTGAAGATAAATTCTGTCACTCTTAGCTCCAGTATGGCAAAGAGTTTTGCAGACAAGGTCTGACAGGGATGGGTTTCACCTTCCCAGATAGAACTCTGATAGAAGGTGGTGTTGGTTATAAGCCATTGACTAAAACTGCTTTATTGAAGTTCTGTATAACTGAATGCTAAGTAAATTATGATCCTCAACAAGTTAAGTGGATGAACTGCAAACAGTCTTTACTGTAACATAGTCTGGCTCTGAAAAATCAAGCAAACAACTTTTACTGTCAGATATTCTGGCTCTGAAAAATCAGAGTTTTATAAGTTGTGAAAATGAGTTTAACAAACACTTTTCTGCTGATTTATTTTTGTATCTGGAAATTTATATATAATAAGGTGATTTAATTAACCACTAAGTGTAATAAAGGGCAGGTTTTGTTCATTTTTCTAAAGTATAATATGGTTTACCATAAATAAAACAAAGAGACATTAGAGTATAAGAAAACAGTAAAACTTTTGAAATTAAACAGCAGCAATTAATTTCAGGTATGCAACGGAAGTTGATGTTGATTTTGTTCGCAAGGCTGTACGTGCTATTGGTAGATGTGCCATTAAGGTAGAACCATCTGCAGAACGATGTGTTAGTACTTTACTTGATCTCATACAAACGAAAGTAAATTATGTTGTTCAAGAAGCTATTGTAGTTATAAAGGTAACTATGAAATCACTTTTTTATTACTACAAGCAAATTTTTGATGCATTTGTTACATTTGTGTGAATTTAATTGTATATTAATTTTTGTTTTTAGGACATATTTAGGAAGTATCCAAATAAATACGAAAGTATAATTTCCACTCTATGTGAGAATTTGGATACTTTAGATGAACCTGAAGCCAGGCAAGTTTTATTAGTTTTTTTCCTTTATGAATGAAAATATTTGCTCAGTTTGCTATTCAAAAAGAAATACTCAAATAACTGTTTATGTATTTGATAAATGGGTATACACTGTATAACAAAAACCAACACACCAAGAAGGAGTTATTCAAATGGGATGAAATATCATATGGCCATCCATACCTTATGATAGAATATGCAAATGATTAATTTTTGGCAGCCAATGACTGAGCATCAAGAAGATAGTGGTCGACCAAGAATGATGACAGAAAACAGTCGGGTAAATATCCCACCACTCAGCCTGGACGTCTCCAGACAAGTCTTCATTGGTTATTTGGCTTCATTGACACTTATAGTCCCTCATGTGTTCTTATCAATAATCTAACATGAAACCGGGACACCAATGACTGCAATGAACATTGATAGATGACTCGGCGAATGGAGCTTGAGGAGATGGAGGTTATTGCACCAGTGTGCAACTCATTGTTGACAACTGCAAATATTCCTGACAGTGTGCAACAATGAGTTGCACACTGTCAGGAACACTTGCAGTTGTGCCAGGTGCATTTGACCTGGATCATAAATACTGGTGCAGAATTGTTTTCAGTGATGAGTCTTTGCATTGAGCCACAGATAACCAATGAAGACTTATCTGGAGACATCCAGGCCGAGTGGTAGGATATTCACCTGACTGTTTTCTGCCACATAGCCTGACAGCCAGGTGTTATGGTATGGGGTGCCATTTCATTTGATAGCTGGATCCCTTTGGTTATTATGTGTAACATCTCTACCACATGGTGGTGGTACATCAACAAAATTCTACCCCCTGTTGTGTTGCTGCTCTTTTCACAGACCCCTGGACTAATGTTCAACAGGATAATCCTTGGCTGCACACAGCATGTCTTTCTACTGCTTGTTCTCATGTGTCTCCAGTTCTCCCTGACCAGCCAGATTTCTCCCCAATAGAGCACATTTGAGCTCTGATGAGAGGCCCTACATCATGTTAGTCTAATTTGCCTCTTGGAATATTACGACAAGTGATCTTACAAAAGGGCATCTACCAACACTATAAGTTCAATGCCCAGCTGGATAACAGCTTGCATCAGGGCCAAAAATTGGTCATGCATTATTCATTCCTCTATCTTGTAGCTATATTTCCTGAATAAAACATTCATTTCCTATGGTACGGTTAGTGTTTCATTTACAATACTTTACATCACATCTACTGACTTATGTCCCATTCGGATAACTTATCCTTGGTGCATTAAGTTTTATATTTTAAAGTGTGTTTAATCTGATATATGCTAATGTTTTCTGGTATTGTGGAGAAAAAGATTTGACAATATTACCTTTAGGTTTAGAATGAATTATTATATTATTAATAGTTTTTTATTTTTATTTTGATCAGCAAATTGAAGGAGTTTAGGCTAGAATGCTAAGTTTTAGTAATGCTGATATTTTCATTTGCGTATTTAGTATTAAATAATTTTTAGGGCTTCAATGATCTGGATTATTGGCGAATATGCTGAAAGAATTGATAATGCTGATGAACTGCTGGAAAGTTTCCTTGAAGGCTTCCATGATGAAAATACTCAAGTAAATTATTTATGTTATTTAAAATTTTTGATTTAATCCTTTTTATTCAGGCATTTATGTTTTCTTAGTTTCTTTACCAATAAATTGCCTTTATTTTAATTTTGATTATTTTAAATTTTTCAATTGAAAGCAGAATATGATTCTAAATATTTTTGCAGATATTTAAGAATATGATTCTAAATATTTTTGCAGATCCTATTTTAATTTCAATTTTAATATTTGCATAAGAAAATATAATCTTTATGCATAATAATTTAAGAATGCATAATAATTTAAGAAAATATAATATTTGGTATAATGTGCTTTGCAAGTATTCTGTTCACCTTTTTTCTCAGCATTATCTTTCAGCATTTTTCTAAATATTTGCTCTGTTACTGATGGATAGTAAAAGATTATTTCATGTACTAACTTTATACATCTTTTATGCATTAAAATTGTTCTGAACATTTGCTCAAAAGAAGTAAATTTTTTCATGTTCTTTATGTTAATAATAATTGAAAGTTGATGTATAACGGATTTCAGACAGTAACTGCCGTGAGCTTCAGTCTGAAAGAAATACTCTGAATAGCTGCTTAAAAAAGTATCTGACAGAGGGCAGAAACATTTTGCATTTTTATAATAACCACTTATTTGTATTTTATTTTAGATCTAGTACATATTGTATACAGAGTGATTTAAAGTCTCTATACAAACTTTGAAGATAGGTTGAGACTATCATATCAAAATATTTTTACATAGGAATACATTGCCAGAAATAACGCATGTGTAATAGAGGCAGTAGTTTGTCCAAAACTGTATTGGGTTGACAGTATAATTGTGTTTGAGAAGAATCAATACACGCCCCAGCAATGGAAGAAATGGTGTACAGTAAATCCTCTGAGTTACATATGTAATGCATTCCATAAACCTTTACACAACTTGAATTTTAAATAACTCAAATATGTAAACTGTTTGAATGTAATTTTGTAAGAAATTGCTTTATTATTTTATGTAAATGAGTGTGTATATATATTAGTTGTAGAGTATTTTATCAATCAAACTTCATATTGCAGTATATATTTGGATATATACTACAAAAGTATAAAAAATATTAAAAAACTATAAAAGTAAATTGAAATAACATTTTTCAAATAAAAAAAATGTTTTATGACGGTTAATCTGGCTCTAAAGTGGAAGTGAAACAACTTTGGCAACATCTATCGCTCTTGATCTTGAAAGCTGAGGGTGGTTAGGGTCATTGGTTATCATAGGTTTCGATTGGCATCTATCATAGGTTTCGATTGACATCTATCATAGGTCTTCGATTGGCAATCATATAATACATTGCGCAGCCATGTGTTTTCAATCATTGCAGATGGACTTGTAGCTAGACATATTAGAATGGATATGACTGTTAAACATTCTCAAACTGTTTGGTGTGTGATTAGTTGATATTTTGTTACCACTGTGTCTTTGAAGTTAAAAACTCGGCTAGCCTCTTCATAGTAAATTTCTTTGATATCTGCTTCTGTTTCAGATCGCGGTCCTATAGGGCAACAATTTCTTCACTATGCTTTCAACAGTGCAAACATTATCGTTCAGTATCATGTTTACTGTCGAAATAAATAATGTATTTTTTCCTTCATGCATATGAATTATTTTTAACTTTTCTTCTGAAGTAGCTGGATATTGTTTTTAAGAGTTATTACCAGTGCATTCAGTTTTGCATTTTTAATCCATTTTAAGTGTAGGTAAATAATGACCTTTATTGTCTATAAATAAGTGACTAACCAACCACGAGAAGAATATTTGAATGTAGGAGATATTGGTTGTGCAAAGTCAATTATGGAATGCTTGTTTCTAATTCAGAGATTTTGGTTTGAATGTTATGTCTTTTGCATTCTTATTTAACTTTGGAATTATGAAAATCAGAATTATTACGGATCAAATTAAATGGAATTCGCATATGAGTACTTGAGTATTCTGCATGATGCTAGTGTACCTCAGTCTGCTGTATATGTGAGTATTATATAAGGAAAACTTACATACTTTTCATATGCACCTCAAAAGCCATGAGCGAAATAGCCATTAATTCTGACTGCTACAAGAATTGCTGAGGAAGTAGTATATTTGACGATCTAGGAATCAACACTGCAAGACATGTATTGCACCCAGATAAAATAAACTTTGAGCATTTCTTCTGAAATCGTAAACATTTATATGTGTGATAAGTGTGTATTATCTCACTTGTGTTCTGTAAGTTTTTTAATTTATGCATCTTTAGCATATTTAGATTCATATGCATTTACATATTTCTATGTAAAAGTTATTCTTTTTTGTATTTTTGATCTATCCTTAAAACTTGTACGAGATCTTTTGGATCATCTTATACATCGAATTTCAAATCCTTCTGTAATAACCATGTTTGGATTACATGTCACCTATAAAATAGATGTAAAATAAGAGGCAAAGGACGTAATTTCATTTTTCATTCAAAATCCATAAGGTTAAGTGTTCCATAAAATGCACTTTGACGTATATTTTGTTTAAATTTATGTTTAAGAGCACCACCTTACAAATTCTTATTTAGGAATTATTTTTATTTACTAAAAAAAGTGTAATTTTGTATCTGATATTTTTGTGTCCATATTTATTCTTGATTACTTACTTGCATTCTAATTTTATGTACATAAAATTTTATTTCAGCATGCTTCTTATAAAAATTTTAATTTATGTTTAAATTTTGATATAAGTTACATTCTGAACTTCGTGATGGAAATGTTCTTTTATATTTTGGTACTTTTTAATTTATTAAATTTTACTAGAATGATACAAATTGATGAGAGATCATTGTTTCTCTTTTCACAATATATCAAATGTATAATTCGATTAAACCCAAGCATGATCTTTTTGTACATTACAGAAACAAAATTATCTGTGTATAAATTGAAAATATCTGTGAATGTTGCAACTGCATCATAGTACCAGTCAATTAATTAATTTAGAGATAAAAATTTTATTATTCCAAGACCAAAGAGGCTCATCTTCTGTTTATTTATATATATATATATAAAAAAAAAAAAAAAAAAAAAAAAAAAAAGTGCAAAACTGAATTTTTAAAACGGTGAGCTTTTTATCAATTGGAAATGGAATTTTCATTTAATTTTATGCTTACTTTTGGATATCTAGCTAGTTTGGAGAGCTACTTAATCTGAGTAGAGGTAAAATGTAATCATAGCCCACTTGTTGAAAGGTTTTACATATTTCAACCATATTTTGTGTTAAAGTATGATATTTGATATTCACATGAGTTCATGAGGTTAGGAGATAATTTAGCAAGGAATTGATACTTACAAGAGGATTACGAGTATATGAGGTTAGGATATAAGTAAGTAAGGAACTGTTATTTACAAGAAGTTTTTAAATAAATATATGAGGTTAAGATACAAGTAGACAAGGAACTTATATTTTTTAGATTTGATGAAAACATTGTTTAATTCAAAATAGTATATTTTTATATAAATATGGAATAAAATTAAAGCTTTTTTAAGTTTTAAAAATTTTAAGAAGTTGGTTTATATTTTTAAAATCCGGAATGATCTATAATCTGGACCTCAAAGCTACAAATTTTATGCGTATGCATAAACGCATGCACATAAAGTTATACATTAAACGTTATACATTAAACATGTACATTTATGTTATAAGCTAGGCTAAAATTATCTAAGGCATTTCAGTTAATGTTGCAGATTGCACTGTTCCTTAATCTTCTAATTGGATCCTCCTAAGTGGATGTTCCATAATCTTCTAACATTAAAGTTATACATTAAACATATGCATTTATGGGCTCACCAAAGGCCGAGCGGTAAAGTCGCTGAACACTGGTAGTTCGGTCTGAGGTTCGAATCCCGTGAACGGGCTGGCTGCATGGGTGTTTTCGTGGTTATCCCCATGTGTAACGTGTATACGAGCCAGTTTCCCTTAGAAAGTCCTCCATTAGGCAGATAGCCCTAATGTGCTTTGCCATAATTAAATACATACATATACATTTATGTTATAAGCTAGGCTAAAATTATCTAAGGCATTTCAGTTAATGTTGCAGATTGCACTGTTCCTTAATCTTCTAATTGGATCCAACTTATTATTTTTTACAGACTGTTAGAGCAATTTTATAAAAATTAAACTTGAACTTTCGATTATGCCAAAAAGAGTTTCCAATTCTGGAGCTGCCAAAGGATTTGCAAAGCAGCATGTTTCGATGTCCATTAAACAAAAAGTGAAATTGCTGCAAAAAATTGATAAAGGTCTATTTGTCTCAAAATTATGCGAGAAGTATGGCATTGGAAAGTCCACTATATATGACGCAAGAAAAAGGAACTTTTTGAATTTTTTGGGGAAGCATCTTAAACAACTTACATTGAAAGAAATGTTTAATAAAGTAAACAAATAAATATTAAGCTTTTTTTTGTAAATTTTGATACCCTTTAGATCATAATTGTTCTTTATTTCATAAATTACAATTTCGTATTTTTAATTGTATAATTTCTGCATGCCATCTTACCAGATTTAAATTGATGATCTATAATCTGGAAACTGTAAGAGCAGTTCTATAATCCAGAAAAATCGATAATCCGGAATCGCCGAAGTCCCGACGAGTCCGGATTAATGACTTTTGACTGTTTTGTATATGTTTTGTAAGCAATATCTAGATTAATGTAGTCATATTTATATCAGCTTAATGTACATCAGGTAGTGTTATTTAATAATAATTGTACTATTGTCAATTTGTCTGCTTTTTTGTGTGTTTTACTAAGATGAGAATCAGATTTCTATAATTTTTGTAAAGTTTGTATAATTCCTTGTAGATATTGGGAGGCTGAACTTTTTGATATTGTTCCTACTACTTGTTTTTATTCCTTTTTTTGCCCTTACTACTTGTTTTTATTCTGCTTCTAATACTTGTTTCTATTGTTGTTCATGTGCCCCACCTTTGAAAATTAAGAATACATTTTGTAAAAAAAATGAGAGTTTATTTGCTTAATATTTGAGCATTTCATCTTCTGTAAGACTGTGATGATTCAAACACATATTCCAGTATTCTGAAGTTACATATTATGTTGTCTGTTATAGGTGCAACTGCAACTCCTAACTGCTATTGTGAAATTATTTCTGAAACGGCCCACAGAAACTCAGGAACTAGTCCAGCAAGTATTAAGCTTGGCAACACAAGATAGTGATAATCCTGATTTAAGAGATAGAGGATTTATATATTGGAGATTATTATCTACAGATCCTGCTGCTGCTAAGGAAGTTGTTTTGGCAGAAAAACCTTTAATTTCTGAAGAAACAGATTTACTTGAACCTTCTTTACTAGATGAACTTATTTGTCATATAAGTAGTTTGGCTTCTGTATACCACAAACCTCCATCTGCTTTTGTTGAAGGACGTTTGGGAATTCGAAAATCCTTACCACCTCGACAGAACTCGTAAGTGTACTCGTAACTTTTGAAAAATATGTTTAAAAATATTCCTAACTTGTAAGTTTCATTATTCTTTATTGCACATTCCTTGTTAAAATAATTAAAAAAAATTTTTCTTTTCTTTTTAAATAAAAATCTCTATTAATGACATAATGGAGTTTTTCATATCACCTATATGCTTGGAGGTATGTTATGTATATTTAGGTAATGAAATAAAATTTATATAAATAAAATATTGGGCTTAAATGTGTAATTAAAATGCTATTGGTAAGATAGAGAAAATCAATCACTTAAATTGAATAGTTTATTAAGTGTATTGCCAAGACTATAAATACTACAGAAACACGTAGTATTAACTGTTTGCAGAGTCTTCAAGTGGTGATTTGGGTGATCCAAGTGCACTAACATACTAACAACTGCATTTCCTTTTTAATTTTAATTTATACTTCTAGTGGGTGTCAGTAAAGCTTGTCTTTCCAACGTTTTGAATTAAAGCATTTAATAATTTTCTAGATGAAGTTCTGAAAGGAGAAAAAAGTATGTAGGTTTAAGTTCTAGAATTTCAAATATTTTTCAAGATTTACGAGAACTGAATCTTGAAATATCACATCTCTTGTATCTGTCATTAACATCTCACTATTAAATTATGCAGACAAATTCACTGACAGCTAATTCACTAACGGCTTCAATGATTTTCTTAGCACTGAAGGCTGTCTGTTGAGGCTGAAATGGAAGTTTTGAAATTAAATAGAATGATTAAATTTTGATAATTTAAATCGTTATCCCACAGGTTTTTATGAATATGTAAAATATCTACTGCCTAAGCCTATGAATTATTTCAGATTTAAAAGCTGACTAAAACATGTTTAAACTTAGTAATCTTTTTCGGTAAAAATGAAATCTTTGGATTTCTTTTGGCTTCTTAAAAGCAAAATGTGAACTTTCATAATCCAAAGGATATAACTATGAATAAAATTCTTGAATCTCTAAATTCTTAAAAAGTAACATTTGTAAATTATGCAAAAATGTATTTAACTTTTAGGTTAGGTTCAACTGAAGAAGCACCAGCTGGCAGTCCAACTGTTGTTACAGAACAGGCAGCTGTTATTCCTGCGGGTGAAAGCTTAATAGGAGATCTGCTTAGTATTGATCTGAATGCACCCCCTACTGTGCCTCCTGTGGCACCTGCTGCATCAGTTCCAAGTGCAGCTGTGGACTTACTTGGAGGAGGACTGGACAGCTTGGTAAGTAATGGAGATAGTTTGGAACTTTTAAAAATTTCCATTATTATTATTGGCAAAAATTTAAATTTTTGAAAGGAAGGAATTTTTGTTTAAAACGCTACGAGCAAATTTTGACCTTGCTGTATGATTCATTCATTACATAAGCATAACAAAATATTGCGGTAAATAATGTGCATTAAATTAAAAAAAATTGAAACAGAGGTGTAATATTGTGCTTATTTATACAGATTCTGAGCATTTAAAATTATTTAACTGTTTTAAAGTGAAGGAAGAATAAAAAGCTAATAATAAAGAAATTGCAATAAATTTTTTTGTAAAAGTGTATTAGCTGTTGTACATGATTATTTTGTATTTGAATGTATTAAAATTGGCATATGTATTAAATTAGATGTATTAAAATTGTTTCCAGTGGAATAATTCTTCAGAGTAAATGGTTATATGTAATATATAATCTTAAAATTTTTTTTTTAGAAAACTGCTAAAATGAGAAAGTAGTTATGTCAGATCTGAAAGCTTATGCATGGATTGCTTCTGTAGGAAATGCTCTTTTACTGTATAAAGCATATTGATGTCTTATTTAAAAAAAAATATGCATTTAATGAACTGATTGTATTAAAACGTTTAATTGATATGATAGCATATTGAAATATATTGAAAAATGTGCATGTATTCTAAAAATACATATGTAGACACAATAGTTGTCATAATTGTCAAAATATTGGAAACTTTAAAAAAGTATTTATATTGTTAAGAGGCATATTAGCAATTAAGTTGGGTTACCTGCTTAAGATATCATTGTTTTACAGCTATATATATGAAGTATTTGAAGTGACTGAATACATGTATATTAAGTAGATTTTTATTTTTTGATTTTATTTATTATTTTTATGGATTAGCTTGGTGATATTGGAACAACAGAAACAACACCTGCTCCAGCACCTACAGTAGGTGCTGCAGGCCTTCTTGGGGATATATTTGGTGTTGCACCTCCTGTAACTTTCTACACACCCCCAAAACAGGTTATTTTATATTATTTACTTTAAACAGAAAATTTACATTATTTATATATTGTAATAAATGTTAAAACAATATCAATTTATTTTCAGGTTTGGTTACCTGCAACCAGAGGAAAAGGTTTGGAAATCACTGGCACGTTTACTGTTCGAAATAGTCAAATATACATGGAAATGACATTTTTTAATAAAGCTATGCAAGCAATGGGTGGTTTTGCCATTCAGTTTAATAAAAACAGGTTTGGGTTAATTTTAACATATTAAATCATCAGGCTTTATAGCAATGGTCTCAAACTGACAGCCTGTAGGCTTCATGCAGCCCATTAAGCGATTTTACGTGGTCCTCCAATACGTTTCAGTTAGCCCTTTGTTTTAATGCAGTACTTGCAGATTTCGATATAGCATAAATTCATTGGGTAGTGGACTGCATTTTAGTGGTTATTAAAAAGAATAGAAAAGCACTACAAACATTTCAGCAGCCATTACATTTCAATTAAATTTGAAGCTAGTGCTAGCTCACAGCCGAGAGTATATACAGGATGTGTATGCTGCGAAGACCCACAGGAAAAGCTAAAAAAGGCATTAATCATCACATCACAGGAATTACAATTTACTATATAAATATAAGCACCATCAGAAATATATGGATTATGTTTATGTGCACATTTGCTATTGAATGAAAAAAAGAATGGAATGAATAGATTTGTGGTGTCAGTTAAATGAAAAAATTACAGACTTTGCATGCATTCCAGGTTAGTTGACTAGGCCAAGGTTGGGCATTGATACTATCAATAAATTTATTCGCCAGCTGATAGTAGAAATTTAATATTATGGCGTGTCCAGTTTCTGCTTAAATAAATAAAATTGTATGTTTTATTTGCAATGAGGGAATATTAATTCCAAAAGAATCTGGTTTATGTCACCATTACAAAGTGATTTGTAAAAACAAAAGGGGTGGGAGGAAGAGAAATGTTGAAAAGTAAACTGAAGGAAGAAAAGTTAAACTTTCTAAAATCTAGCTTACATCAACAACAAAATGTGTTTATAGAAGCAAATAAATACAGAAAAGTAATGGTTCATGCAAGTTTTACTGTTATGTACATCATTGCAAAAAGATTAAAATAATTTGATGGTAAATTTGTTAAAGATTGTTTGATTAAATCTGTTGCACTTCTGTGTCCTGACAAACAACAGTTATTTAAAAATATTAGATTATAAGCCAACACAGTAGTGGGACCTATTAACAAAATTGCAAGTGACTTACGATGTCAGATAAATGAAAAAACTGTTATTCATTTTAGTATTCTCAGTAGCAGTTGATGAGAGTTCTGACATCGCAGCTTGTCGTATTTGTACAAAGTATTACTGATAAATAGTAGTTAACTGGAAGTTGAGTAATTGAGGAATAGCTGAAAATAAATCCTATGAGAAAAAAATTATTGCACAGTTTATTTTTTCTGAAATAAAAATGGTAGTAGATAAACATAAATTACATTGAGATAAAATGGTTGAATTTGCAAGTGATAGTGTAATTGCTGTGGTTGGTAAAAAAAAAAAAAAAAAAAAAAGAGGAGTAGTGGTAAAATTAAGAAATGTAATGAAAAAAGAAAAATTTCAAGAAATGTTTTGCACTAGGCATTGCATTATTCATCAAGGAGCATTCTGTGACAAAAATTTGATGATATTATGGAAACAATTAACCCTTTGTAGTTGCATGTCTACTCATGGCCACCAAAGCTTTTTTATAGTTGTAGTCATATGTCTGCTTTCAGCCACTATAGCAAAGAACCATACTGATCATGGACCACATATTGTCGACAAGCTTCATAATCTTGCATATTATGTATTAGTATTTTTTCAACTAATATTACTTCCAACCAGCATTATACCCATGTATAAATTTAATATGACCACAGAGGGTTAAAACTGCAAACTTTATTTGTGGACAAACTGTGAATCATTGAGAATTTGTTGTATTGCTTGAAAAAATTGAAAGTGAGTATGGAGAAATGATTTATTATACTGAGGTGGTTAAGTTGAGAGGATTTACAGTATTTTTTTTGATTTAATAAATAGATAAAATTTTGAAATTATTTTGAAATTTTTTAAATTTGAATTTAAAAAAAATATATATATAAACACCGTCAAATTGCATACTGATATACGATCCAGTAGAATGGTGCCTTAACATCAGGGTACCTGGGTTCCGAAACCCTACCCCTTGTAGAACAAAAAGAAGTTTTTGAATCTTGAAACGAAATAACCTGAGAATGAAGGAAACAAAATTGAAAAGGCTGGCAGTAATTAAAGATGAACACTAGATGAAGATCTAGCATGAATGTAAAAGCAACTGGAAATACTCACAGGTGGTCATCCGCATGATTTTCTGTACAATTTAGAGCAATCCTCAAAGTTTCTCAGCAAGGTTGACATTCCAAAGGAAGCTACAAATTTTGGAGAAGACTTTAAACAGTTTTGGCGAAAAGTTCATCGATCGTCAGCCAATCAGGCGTGTCGCACGGGAACATAAGGAGTGGGGGTGTTTGCACTGCAGATGCTTCTCTTTCTTCTCCTCCCTGGCTTGTGCTTTCCAGTGCTTCAAATCTGTTAGTCTGGGTGATTTCCATCGGCACTTCAGGAACTTGATGTTTCACGGGATTCCTCGGAAGTTTCCATTCCTGGTCACTCATTACTTCATCAGAGTATCATCAGTTCAAGGCTTCTTTATGCTGGATTCATGAATCAACTGGGTGGGCTGTACATCTTGCACCTGCTTCTGCTGCTGTGCTTGCGCCTGCTTCTGCTGCTGTGCTTGCACCTGCTCCTGTTGCTGTGCTTGTGCCTGCTCATTCTCCTGACTATTCACAAGTCTGAAAACATATTCTACACCATATAACCTAATCATTTTCAGGATACGTGGATCCGCTACATCTGGCACCTTAAGACTTCTCTAAACCTCTTTTCCTTTAGCTTTGCTCATTTCTTTCTTGGTACTGCTCTCGGCAACGAAATCTTTCCTGAACTTTACTGGCATTGATCTAGTAGATTGGAATGACTTTTCAGATCTCATTTAGATCATCGCTCATAACATCGGTCGGAGTCCTGAAGAAGGACATTTTAGGTTGTACCCGCAGGTACCTCTGCAGTCAAAAGCAAAACATGTGATAGTCACGATAAATCGGAGCTCACACTGAGTACGATCTTCACCTCTCACGTTCAGAACACGTCTCACCGGGCATACTGATACATGGATAACAGATTTAACACTTCTCATTGAGTTAATTGGCAATTTAAATATTTCAATAAAAAGCTACAAATAAAAGTTAAACTTATCACTGAAATTCATACTTCTGTTAAACGTTTTAAAGTTAGATTGTAAGTTTAGAAAACACAACTGAAATATAAAAAAAGTCCCCTTATTTCCTTTGTCCTAAACCAGTACTATTATTATAATATGAAAATGAAAAATCTCAAGAATATGCAAGAAAAAGATTATTACGACAAGAATTGAAGGCAGATGTAAGGAATTTAATGATTTGGAGATCGGTTTTAAATTATTTTCACTTCTATTAAAAGTGGACATGAATAATATACCAGAAAATCTAAATGAGACTAGTTAATTTACAATGCAATATAAATCTTATTAAAAATATGAAGATGCAGATCTGATTAATATTTACTTATACTTTGTCAAAAGGTAAGTATCCTTAGTTGTGAATTTTTGTGGTAAGAATAATTACTTTGTTTGGGAGTACAGTTATATGTGAGCAGTTTTTTCGCATTTGAAAATTAATGAGTCTAACAAAAGATCTTGGTTGATCGACGAGCATCTACAATCCATGATGAAGATAGTTTCCAGTAATTTTTCTCCAATGCTACAGATGTTATCAAACTGAAAACACCATCAAATGTTAATCTGCAAATGGAGAAATATATTGTAATTTACATACAATATATTTTTTCTGCATGTGTTGATAAAAAATTGAATATATAAAGGAAGGAGAATAAGTTATCATTATTTGTTCTCTGTTCTGTTTCACAAGTTTTTTCTGAAAATTTGGTAAGTTTTCATAATTTTTTAAATTTTTGTTAAAACTAAGTTATGTAGTAGTTAATTCAACACATTAGAATTATTTGAAATAAATATTGATCCAAAAATTGAATATTTAGCTGCTAGTTAGTATATTTGAATTATGGAATGTAACAGAAATTGCAACAGGAGAAACGTAACTTTCCTAAACAGCAGAAATTTGTTACAAATAGAAAATAAGCATAATAAATCTTAATTTTTTCGTTTGCATTATCATTATGATATTTTATGTGTGTTTTGATGAATATTTATTAAATGAAATTGGAAGTTAAGGTAAAATTTAGCTAGTTGTTTGAAGTTTTATATAGATGCATAAAAAAGATAGGCTTTCCTACCTCCTGTCCCAGCTGGCCAGAGCCAGATTTAGACTATTTGAAATATGGGTCCCTTTATAAGTCGGCCCAACAGCGGCCGAGCGGTAAAGTCGCTGAACACTGGTAGTTCGGTCCGAGGGTTCGAATCCCGCAAACGGGCTGGCTGCATGGGCGTTTTCGTGGTTTTCCCCATGTGCAACGTGTATACGAGCCAGTTTCCCTTAGAAAGTCCTCCACAAAAGGCATCCCTCCCCTTAGGCAGATAGCCCTAGTGTGCTTTGCCATAATTCAATACACCACCACCTCCACACCACCCTTTATAAGTCAGTTATAATATATCTTAATACTATTTATACTATATTTTAATTTTTTGTGGTCTCCAAGAAAGTGGGGGCACTAAGCTATAGCTTGTGTAGGTTATACGTATATCCGGCGCTGCAGCTGCATATATGCGGCTTGCCAGCACCTTTTTAGGTTGTGCATGAGGCCCACATGCAATTTTAGTTTGAGACAACTGCTTTTGTATTGTTAAACTGAAAATGTTTTTAGATAGTGTATGGCCTCATGCAATTTTAGTTTGAGACCACTGCTTTTGTATTGTTAAACTGAAAATGTTTTTAGGTAGTGTATGTCTTTAATTTTCTTACTTATTCTTATTGTTTTATGTTAGAAGCTTTCTTGTAATAAAACATAGGTACTTACTTTTTCAGTTTTGGAATTGCTCCAGCACAACCTCTTCAAGTTCCAGCTCCTTTGTTGCCAAATACAAGTGCAGATGTCAGTCTACCATTGAATACTATGGGAGCTGTGCAAAAGATGGACCCCCTAACTAATCTTCAAGTAAGACTTAATACTGGCTGCAGAATTAGTAAATTTCTTACCAACATGCAAATAAAAAAAAATGGTATACATGTATGTATATATATTGTTATGAATTCATAATAATATAAATTTTGTACATGTATAAATTATTTTTATGAAATTATACGTGAAATTGTATTTTTTCTGTATAATGTAACATGAAAAATCTAAAGAAGTGAAGTTTGCCAGAAAAGTAAGAATACAAGGGCAAGTTTATTTAACATTGAGTAAATGGCTATCTCTGCCAAATTAGTGAGATGCTGCCACGCTGGCCATCATTTTGAAAACTAATTTTTGTGGGCAAATTTTGCGAGAAATCGCCAAAAGTCTCTGAACTTAACGACATTTTTGTCTGGTTCTTGAATAACTGTAATGGGTATTGTAATTGATGCTATAAGTAGCTGTAACCATATCTGGCTCTTATATGCCTTTCAGTAATTTTGAGAAGTACTAGAGATTTCTTGGCAGCTATGGAAAAACTATGCAAGATTAGATAGAACATTTGTTCTGAGTTGTTAGTTCAGAGCTGAATTCGGAGTATTATCTGTGAGAGCTTCGCCTTTTATATGTGCTTTGCATTGCATTGTGTTAAACATTCTTAGTAATTTTAAGTGTAAATATTGATTGTGCTCTGTGATACTGAGAAGAGCTGTACAAGTATTTTTGTGGAAAGTTTTAAACTGTGAAATGTTTATTTTGGTAAAATAAGTTTTATCGAACAATCATCAATTCTGTGTGCATTCGATGCATTACGAACTCGTATGCATGCAACAATATTATTCTCATTGTACCAAATGAAGATAAAGCAATAATTAAAATTTAGATTACAGGATTATTAGACTAAATATTGTAATAAGTATAAGATTATTATGCAACCTCCCATAAAAACAGCCATGGAAAAATAAAAATTAACACTTAATTAATTCTGAAGTATCTATAAAATTTATCAACTGGTAAAAGAAAGGAATATATATATATATTTCCAAATTATCATAGAAAAAGTAGTTTTATTTATATTTTTGCTGTCATTTAGTCGAGCATATGTAACTGTAGGAAAGCTGGTAGCATAGATGCAGAAATATTGCATTTCATAGATCTTAATCTGTTATGAGCAGTAAACTTGGCAGCCAAGGGACATTTAATGTTCACTTTTATGCAGAGAATTCTATTTTATAGATGCAGAAATATTGCATTTCATAGATCTTAATCTGTTATGAACAGTAAACTTGGCAGCCAAGGGAGATTAAATATTAATTTTTATTTCAATTGATATTTGTGACCACAATTCACTTGGCACTCTAATTATGCCATTCTAGAACATTAAATTTTTTACACTATTGTGGTAGGAAGAAAGCAACGCGGTAGCATCTTAGTAGAGCAGAAACAAGTAGTAGTAGCAAGCAGACTTAGTAACAAGCAGAAGCAATGTGCATAATTATCCAATATGAAAGCTTATTAAGAGAAAAGTTTGGTTCTCTAAATGTTGTGTTCCGAATTAACTACATCATCGTTATATAAAAGTCATGATGGATTAATCTAAAAATAACACAATACAAAAAAAGGTATTACTGTTTTTAGAATAGAGAGGGAAAGCACCCAAATTAAAATGAGGAATTAAGGGGCTATTGCTGATTTAAGTTATAATTTTGTTTTACTTTATTTTTATCTTGCATACTATGCACGTTTTATTTGCTTGCCAAATTATTACTTCTTACAATACAAATATTATACTTTATCTGGTATGAAATACACTGAAAATTAGTATATCAGATATTTTGTCACCATTTCTTCACTTAAATTGGCAAACATCAAAGTGATAATCAGTTTCTTGCCATACACATTCTCTGCAAAAATTCTGCTGAATTACAATTTACTGCTGGAATTTTTGTATGTTGTGCATAAATTCAGCATATGCACAGTATTTTTGATAAATCTTGAAAAAAATCATAAAGGGTTGGATCTGGAGACCTATGAGGCTGAAAGCACTTTAAATGGTCATTTGTACATTATGATAGTGTTTTGAAAAACAGTTCAGGGAATCCACTGAATTTAACTTTTAAGTTAACCAAATTTTAAATAAAACCAATTAAACCTATTTTTTTTTATTTTGGAACTTTCTGTGAATACAATTATGACAGCAGGTAATGTGTGCTTGTAATGCATAATGTCAAATTAAATTGATCGTTTCTAATATTTTTTTTTTGTATACATTTTTTTTTTTTTTTTTTTTATGAAACAAGCATCAGTTTGTGGATCGAGAGCTCTGTGGAAAATTTTTAAGTAGCTGTCTGCAGAAAAATATCGGTCAATTCTGCTGTAGAATGTATGTATTGGGTTATTTGGAAAGTAATTTTGTTTTTTCCCCATGAAAATGAAAGATGATTTCCTAATAAATGAATAAATATTTTATTCAATTATACTCGTATATTGTCTATTCTGGTCCAATACCTTTTGACATCTTTTTGGCAATAGCAGGATTCCATGCTCATAAGTGTTTTTTTCTTTGCTGGCAGATGATCCAGGTGATTTTTGACACCACTCGTTTGAAGTAAAGGTTTTACCGTCTAAAAAATTTTGTAGAGACTGGAAACAAATAATAATCAGAAGATGTCAGAGCTGGGGAATATGGTGAATGTGTCAGTATATCCCATCTAAGCTGTAAAAGCTTTTGACGAGTTACCAAACTTGTATGACATCTAGCATTATCTTGGTGGAACACTATACTTTTTCTGTTGATCCATTTTGGCCTTTTCTGTTTAAGTGAATCATTCAGTTTGTCTCGCTGATGACAGTACACACTTAAGAATTGATCATTATGTTGTCTGTTAAAAGCTCCCCCCCCCAAAAAAAATAGGCTTTTAGATTTTACATCACACCCAAGGGGGTGCTTTTATTTATTAAATATCATGTTCTTCACACTTAAACATAAAATTCAATTCAACAGCAATATGGCAAAATAATTTTAAAATTAGCATATCTTTAGAATTTCCAATGCATAGTCTCACGCACTGGAGATAAAATTGTTTTTTCTCTCCATACAGTATTGCCATTGCTCACTTTGAAATCATTGACTGTGTTTATCAAAAATTCGCTAAAGTGTTACAAAATATGAAATAGATAATGAAACAAATTTTAAATTCCAAATTAGGGCTTCCAGATGCTCATATTCAGTGGAAGATTACGTTATTCAAAATTTGATGCCTCTAGTACTGTTGTTTTATTACAATGCGAGAAATATACATATATTTATGTGGATTCTTCATTATTTAATTTCTTTAAATGTAACACAGGGCTCTAATATTTGGTGGCAACAATTTGAAAATTGAACCGACATTTATAGTAAACCAACGCAAAATGGCAAAACGAAATTAATAGCTCTTTGGGTGAAATCCCACCAAACAGATAGCATCACTTTTTTTTGATGAATATCGGCTTTTAAAGTGCTTTGAGCAAGTTCATCTTTTTTGCTGCATGATCTCTTGTGTTTAACTTCGTTGTAGACAACCCACTTCTCGTCTCCAGTGATGATACATTTCAAAAATGGATAGTTTTTTTGATGTTTAAGAAGCAAATTGCAAACATCAATGTGACGGCACAAATTTCTTTCCATGAGAACATGAGGAACCCATATGTCAGGCTTTGAGATTTTAAACATGAACATTTCAAATGATCATAAATGGTCAAATTCTATAAATTTAATCTCTCAGCAATCTCACGAGTTGTTATTTGTCGGTTTCCATCAATTAATGCTTTTATTGTGTCTTTATTAGCTTTAACTGGCCTTTCAGAATGTAATGCCTCTCCAAGGTCAAAACTGTTGGATCAAAATTTTGCAAACCAGTGTTGGCACTGCCATTCTGTCAATACATCTTCTCCATACACATGGGATAATTTTTTTCTTGCTTGAACAGCATTTTTACCCTTTCAATAATAAAAAAAGTAAAATATGCCAAAAATGCAGCTTTTTATCCATATTTGAAAGGGCACCAAACAAAAACTACTGTGTAGAATCAATCGAACTTTTTCACAAACAAGGCTTGCTATAGCAGCTGTCAAAATATATAATGATTATGGGGCTTAAGCGTGAAGTTTCTGTGAAAAAATACTTAAACCGTACATTGGAAAAAAACGAAGTTACTTTCTGAACATTCCAATAATAGTAGGTTAGAAAAGAAATTATCAAAGATCTAGATTGGTCTTGAGTGACTAAAAAGATAACATATCAGTTGATCAAATAATTTTAAAATAAATTTATGTGTTTAGTATTCTTACTAGTAAAACTCTTTTATTTTCATGTCATTTAAACTTTTATTTTTAACATTTGATGTTTCAAAATGTTAACAGTGAGTAAAAAAAGTACAAATTGATTACATTAATATGCCAGAAAATAGTCTTTCTGTTTCTGGGTTAAGCTTTGTTTTTCAATGCAGCTGAAATGAGGATGGGAAGTTTTCTGTTTATTTAATGACTTGTTTACCTATGTTTTCAAGGTGTAATTTTTAATTAGATATTCAAGATGTGGGTGTATTCTGTGATTATTGCTATATTTGCGGTGTGTAAGTAGTTAAAATAAATAAGTTTAATTTCAGGTTGCAGTCAAAAACAACGTAGATGTATTTTACTTCAGCACTATAGTTCCACTTCATGTTTTCTGTACTGAAGATGGTATGATGGATAAAAGGGTCTTCCTTGCTACATGGAAAGATATTCCAGCACAGAATGAAGTTCAGTACACAATAGATAATATTGTTTTGAGTACAGGTATGACCAGTTTTGAAATAATAGTGAATGCTTGTTAAACTATAATAATTTTTCTTTCTGTAGAATAATGGTTTGATTACTCAGTTTTAAAATTCAGAATTTTTTGATGAATTAAGCTGAGTATTTTCCACTGATAAGCTTTAATAAGAATTATTCTTAACCCTCTGGCTGCTCATCCCACAGTTTCCACGGCAACTCAAATGTAGCAAAATCTGCTCATCCCGCGATTTCCGCGGGCTTGTGTTTTTCTTCCTTTGTTGAGGAGCACATCCTGTTTTTTTCCCTGTTTAACCTCTGAAATAAATTATATACAGTATTGGATGTTTAGTTTATGTTTTGGCCAACAGATATCGTTAGTTGTCCACTAAATTGCGGCGTTTGAAGGCACGTGGTATTTACCGCTCAAATTCCACTTTTTGGGCTTTTTTCATACAGAAATGGCTGCTAGAAAACATTGAACGATTATCTTAATTATTTAATAAAATTATTGAATTATTAATTAGATTTATTGATTATATTAATAATTAGATTGATTACTAATTAGATTTATTGAATCTGGTGCAAAGACTGTGAAGTTGAACTTTGCCTTGAATCCTGTTTTGAACTCTATCATACTAAAATGCATTTCTAAAAGGTATTTTTCCTCAGTGCTTTATATTTCTCTTAAATTTTATACATTTTACTTTTTATATTATGCAATAAATACAAATTAACTGTAATTCGACTGAAATTTATTAAAAAAAATTTTTCCGGTGATAACAGCTGAAATTTTTTCTGGCAACTTAGTTTCTCACAATAAAAATCTATATAAAAAAATATTTTCTAGAAAGGAAAAATGCATTTTTCAATTCTCCAATATATATAGATTGAAAAAAGGGGGGGCGCAATTTTTGAAGTGAATTCGGTCCACAAATTGAGTCAGACAGATGTTAACAGTCAGAGGGTTAATACTTATAAATCATATTTAACTCAAACTATTTGTTATATCAGACTCTTTCAAATGATGCTGAAAGGAAAAATATAATTTGTTTTGCCAATCCAATATATGTTTTACATATTGCAGTTTTATTTTGTGTGTTAAATAATTTAATGTAGTTTCTCTAAGAAACAAAGGATAATATCTTCAAAATATTATTTTATAGGATTTAAATTGATATTTTCATTCTATACTACTATTGAAGTGTTGGAAATGCAATGGCTATTGAATGATATCGAGTATTGCTAATTGTGGAAGTAATCAAGTGCTGGGGTTTATTAAAATTTTTTGTCGTATGACAATATCACATGTGGGTGATGTAATTGTAGTATGTGTTTTGTTTAATGAGCTTTAACCCTTTGTTGATCAGTGTTCCACTACATGGAACACCCAACTTGAATCGCTTCTGAAACCGTTAAATTCAACCGTAAATGCATAAAAATGCCTTTATAATATACTTGGAACTTTTCTTTTTAAATAGTGGATGGCAGCATATCACAAGGAGACCCAGAATTTTCATTTATGATGTGTTATTAAAATCCACTTATTTTCTAGTAATTTTCTATATTTTTTTTGTGATACAAAAAGATTTTTTTGAAAAAAAAATTCTGTATAATTTTGATGGCTGTACTCTATATTATTTGTTATATATATTTTTTTACATTTTTCATACAAAAAGCATGTGCAGAATCATTGAATAAAATGGGGTGTTCCATTAGCGGGAACACTGCGCCTTTAGTGATCTCGTGCTATTACGCATCAGAACATGTGTCTTAGGAGAAAACATCTGTTGTATATGTTTTCTATTTCCGTTGTTTGGGAGAATGAAGTCAAACAAAGCAGTCTTGAGGGGTGAGGTGTGGTTTATGCTATGAAAGCCCTAATATGGGCATCTTGAAATTTTTGTGAGTAGTTTTCAGCAGGAATTTTATCAGTAGCTTGATTCATCTTAGGGGCTGTGCAAATTTTTTGCTGTCACTTTTTAGTCTCATTCCTGTTTATTTTCAATAATTGTGTAGATAGTTTTTTGTGTATGTATATCTTATAGCTTAATTTTATTCATTGTTAATATTAATTGTAGGTAATTTTTTATTATTAATTTTCCATAAATGGTGCGGAAAGTTCTTGCTTAGTTATAATCTTTGCTTAGTTATAATCTTCAGTGAATTGCAACAATTATTCTGAATCTTAAATTTCCAAACAAACTTTTTACTGAGGATTATTCATTGTGAATTTCTTTATTTTCATTTTTATTAATAATGCCTAATAAATATTTCTTAATAGTTCATGAAAACTACTTTTTATACTTATAAAGAATATTATAATCAAAAGTTTAGATTTTTTTTCTTTCAATAAGAGTAAATTTTTATTATTTTAATCATCTGCTATTTTACTTAACTTGAACTGTAATGTTCTTTTTATTTTTGTTGGATTTACAAAATATGTGTTTAACTATGAATAAAAAGGAAATAACTACATTCAACCATGTCTGCAAGTTTCTGTTTCTTTATGCATCCATTACTACGCCACCAACTTTGTTGAGTTATCACATACATTTTATTAAAGATGATCATATGTATCTGCCAAGATCTTTTTTTCCAGGGTTCGTAGCGGTCCTTATAAGTGCTTACAAGTCCTTATATTTGAAAATAAAATATAAAGGCCCTTATAGGTGCTTAATTTTTCTTTAAAGCCCTTATTTTTTTGTTTTAGTGCTTATTTAAATGAACGCGCAATTGTTCCCCGGACCAGAGCCGAAAATAAATAAACAACTTTTCTTCCTGATATGGAATGTCAGATGGTGAATCATACTCTCTGAAATAGCTTTTACCCCTTTCCCTGCATTAACATAACCTTTGGTGTGCGCGGAGGGTACAGACAGGTGCCCGCCGTTCTGTTGGTCAAAGAATTGCGAAAGCAGTAGAAAATTCCGGTACATTCGGCATTCTTTTCCTCCCACCCAAACACTACACACGTTTGAATTTCTATCAAGATCTTAATAATTTGCATTCTTGTTCCGCTTGGTCAGTTCATATTCGTGTTTATTGTAATCGTTATGCTTATATTATGAGCATATGTATGAATGTTTATAATAACATAGTTGTAGTAACTGCTGAAGTATAGTAAACTTTCAAAAATGGTTGTGTTTTAACACAGATTAGCTTTCTAATTAATAATATTCGGAATTGTTTAAATAAAGGGAAAGTAATCGAATAGTCAGAATAATTTCATTTTTTTGTCCAATACATTATATAGTACGAAGGTTGGGAGGTTCTCCCCTTTCTCCGCAAAATCTCGAATATTGAAACTGTTACAGTTCGCTGCAAAACAAGTGACGGACCCTTTTTTTTGTCACTTTCCAATCTGGATTGAATAGGACTAAAAGTTCTGCGGTCTACAAACCCAAGCGAAGAATGATTCTATTCCGGAAATTTAACGCAGTCTGTAGAAAATTAGAGTGAAAAACATCCCAGATTGGTAAGTCTTTCTTTTCCTTTATTTAGTTCTTTATTCTCCCAATACAGGCAGCTGTTGAATCCGATTGTATAATATCATTTAGGGAAGAATTACGGCGCACGTATTGCGCAATAATGTTTGCGATATTTTGCAGAGATAATTAATTTTGATGTTTGGTCCCAGATGTGTTTATGAACACTTAAAAGAGTTTTACTGTGCTTGCTAAGCAGAATATTTTTCTGTTCTGTTGGTTTGTTTTTATATGATGCACATATCGAAATGTCAAAAGCATTTATTTAGCGGAAAAATCTAAAGAGCGGCTACAGTCTACCCCCCCTCCACTTCTCTTTTTCAAGTTATGCTCGACTGTCCGAATATTCCTCAGTTTCCAAGTATGCGAGTTAGTTAAGCTTTTACTGTTAAAGGATGACTACATGAAGCAAATTTCTGTCTTCTGATTTTGGAAATGTTCCTCTTTTTTACTTAAATTACTTTGATTGCAATATCTGTTAAGAAAAAACTGATATACAATGAAAATTTAGAAAATGTTCAGAATTTAGATTTAAATTATTTAAATATCAATATGAGTGGAAAAATAAATTGTATTTATTATTAGGTTCCAAGGGAATACAATAAATATGTTTTATTATTATTTATTTTCTCTATTTTGAACTGAAATTTCATCATTAAATCTTGTAATAGTTTAGTTCTGCATAGTTTTTTTCACTGTAAACCAGTTCTGTAAATTGAACTGTTATTTAAAATTAAAAAAAGTAATTATTTTCCATGGTTGAAATAATGCTTATTCTCTCTTAATAAATACTGCATTTCTCATATTTTAAATTACGAGTATAATTTTTAAGGTCATGCAGTTGTGTATAATGTAATTAGACAGGTGCTTATTTTTTTCTTAAAATAAGCTTAAAAAGTGCTTATAGGTACTTATTTTTTAAACTAAAATGTGGCTATGAACCTTGTTTTCTCTTTTGTAATAATACCTTTGTCATTGATGCATCTCTTTCATTGCAGATATTTATGGCTTGTTTATAAATTTTAAATATTTCAGTTTTATGGAACATAATGACAGTAAATCATGGATTGTGGTTATTTTCAAATGAACAGAGTTTGTGTTAGTTTTGTTGATCCAAAATAGGTCATCATGGCATATGGCAGTATCTGGAGCATTCTAGTATTCTGATGAATGTAAAAATAAAAACTAGTTTAAATACTTTGAGAATATCAGAAATTTTGATATTTTTCCTGTTCATCTGAAACTATAACTGGCTTTTTTACTATCTAAAGGAGGCATTATAATACATGATGTTGTTTAGACTAATTACATGGAAATGTAACAGATTAGCTCTGTTCTGTACATTATATTTTTTAAATTGGTGCTTATGAGACTTAAATTGGTACTTACTTTTTTCTGTAATAATAACCAGTTTTTATTTTTTGCAGATCAAGTTTCACAAAAACTTCAGAACAATAATATATTTACTATTGCAAAACGTAATGTAGATGGTCAAGATATGCTATATCAATCTCTAAAGTTAACAAATGGCATATGGGTTTTGGCTGAGATGAAAATTCAACCTGGTGTCACCTCTTTTACAGTAAGACTATATATATTATAATATATAGTTTAATAGTAATTTTTTTATATATTTAAAAAGTTTTCTGTTTAATCACATGCAAGTTGTACAAGTTTTGTGTGTGCTGCTACTATTTTAATAGTGTTATATATATAATCTTTAATATCAGTTTTTCTTCCCTTTTACAGCTTTCTCTGAAATCTCGTGCAATGGATGTTGCTTCTTCAGTTCATCAGGCTTATGAAGCTATTTTGCATAATTGAGTAATATAAACTGAGTCTCAGTGTTGTTTTATTGTATTATTATATAGTTACAAAAATATTTGGTTTGAAACATTCTGAATACATTTCCTGTAACATTCCACATTAATAAATATGTATAGATTTCTTCATATAGTGGTACTGTATGTTATTAACGACATAAAAATCTGTCAATAAAATAGCATAATGAAATAAAATTTGAATATAAAAGAATTCTATATTAAAAAACATTAAGTGTGCTGTTAATTAGTTATAATGATTTAAAAAAGTGTGTTAGAAATAAATACAAATATCAGGTATTAAATGCATTAGTTGTTTTAAAAAATTCCAAATTTTCCTTCTACTCATGTAAGATGCATCGAGTAATAAAAAAAACTGATACTCTTTTAGATGAAACTTTTATGGTGTTTATGGAAGTGAAATAGATGTAAAAATCTGCAGTAATAGCAAAAACAATGCAAAAAATTAGCAATTCATTAATATTTTGATTTACTAATATGAAGCACAGCTGAGTTTGTTATTGCATTTCATTGTTTCTGCTCAATTACTATTAAAAATGTCAACTCATTTTGAAAAACTTTGTTAAATTTTAAAATATTATTTCCATCTTAACAAATTGTAGATTCTTCAATCAATCAAAACACTCGTTATAATAAAAAATAGTATAACCCAACTTTAAAAAATTGTTTTTCACATCTCTATTTTTAATCAGGAAAAAAAAAAAAAAAGGCCTAAAAATAATTTGGAAATAAGATGTTCATAGAAACAGGTTAAAAAAAAAAAAAAAAATACCACTCAAAATGGCTCACTTAAAATATATGCAGAGTTGCCAACTCTCCCGATTTAGGCGGGAGACTCCCGACTTTTGACCGGTCTCCCGCCAACCCGATTTACTATATATTTCTTTTTCTTAAAATTTCTCACGATTTTTATGGAACTTGGCTTAATACTTGTTATATGAACTTAAAAAAAAAAAAAAAAAAAAAAAAAAAAGGGGGGGGATTTTGGACGTCTAAAAGCAATTGAATTTTATCTAGATTATATCTAAAACAAAATCTTGCGAATCAGATGAGAAATTTTTCTGCTTTGTGAGTGAGAGCATACGCATCCAGAAATGTCATTCTCCAGTTTTCCAATGGGCACCGAGCTCTACTGCGTGTCATTTGGCATATAGTATTAGCCAATGAGGACAAAACAAGCTGCTATTTGGATGTTCTTTAGTTATTTCGGTCATTTTGTCCTGAGTTGTGCGAGTACACGTGCCTTCGGAAAATAGTTTTAGAAATTATCATCTTTTGTTATCTCTGCGAGAAAGGTGAAATACTCATGTACGTTTCAAAAATCGTACACAGTTTGACTTTTCCTTCCATTATTTCCTCAAGGAAATGGTAATAAATTTTGCAATGTGTATCACGTCTGTCGTTGCAATTTTTTCGATTTTGCATGGTGGAAGGGCGGATGTTCTCAAACATGTGCATACACAAAAACACAATGACAACAATGAGTTGTTTTAAAAAAAAAACTAAAAATTTAATTTTTCTTCGGAAAAAAAAAGGACCAAAAGTTATTAATGCAGAATGTCTGTTCTCTGCCTTTTTACTGGAGCAGAACCTGCCACTGAATGCATCGGATCACGCTGCAGCTTTATTTAGAAAAATGTTTCCCGATAGTGAAATTGCTAAGAAATATTCAAGTTCAAGGACCAAAACACATTGTTGATATTTATTATTATCTTGAAAGGAGTTCTAAAAGGAAGGAAAAATTGAAACAATTCCAACAGCTGCATAACTAGTATTAGTGATGACGCATTAGAAAAACTTTTATTAGCGAAAGCAGGCCTACGTAGCAATTGCTATGAACAAAATTATGAAGTTTCTTTCGTAACGAAAGCAAAATCTGCCACTGTTCGTAACATTTGTATAAAAACTGATTAAAATGTCTTAATGCAGAATGTCTGTTCTCTGCCTTTTTACTGGAGCAGAACCTGCCACTGAATGCATCGGATCACGCTGCAGCTTTATTTAGAAAAATGTTTCCCGATAGTGAAATTGCTAAGAAATATTCAAGTTCAAGGACCAAAACACATTGTTGATTGTGTTTTGTGGCCCAAACGATGCAGTGTAAAGTATTTTTGTGTTGCTTTCATTTAAGAATTAGTAACTATTTAAAGTACATTCATTATTAAAAACTATATTTTTATCATTTAAAAAGTATTTTTAACATTGTGAAAATCTCCTGATTTCTTAAAAACGTCTCCTGATTTTTGAGTGTGATAGGTTGGCAAGTATGTATATGGGATAACCCTTTAAAGGGGGAACGTAATTTCTGAAAAGTTGTGAGATTCTGCTACTGACGTAGTTTTTATGGAATTTTTAGTGGCATGCAACATGACTATGAGTCAGTTTACTATAGGAAATATACTAAAACATCCCTCCCAAAGCTAACAACTTTCACATGAAGCCAATTCTAACCATTATTTAACAGAACCTTGATTTGGTCAGCATCATTATGGAATTATCTTATTTTTTTGTGGCTATTCAAAGCATGAAACAAATGGTCATAAAATGAGAAGATGCCTGGAGAGTAAGGTGGAGAAGCAGCAGTTTCCATTCCAAATTAATAATTCCACCAGATAATAAGTGTATTTTTTGGGTAACTGTTTAAATTTCAGGATTTGATCCCAGCTGATAAATTCAGAATTTCAATCGGAGGATATTCTCAACAGATGGTTTCATTGGCAGCACTTTATTTGTTCAAAAACTCTCATTGCTGATCATAAAGGTGACAATAGAGAATTTAAAAAAAGCGTGTAGCAATTTATAGCATTTATTTTATTATTGATAAAATATTTATTATTATCATCATTATAATATTTATAAAAATGAATGTATGAAATTGCAATAACCATCTGAGGGGCATGATTACCTTTTTTGGAGTGTTACCAAATAACTAATTATCTTATTATTCAAAATATTTTGTTTTATTTTCTTTACGATATCACTATTATATCAATGAATGGAATTTTTTTAAAGTAGACTAAAATAATCACCTGTAGACATTTAGAGGGGGGAGTTTAAATACAGTTTTCCGTTAGCAGATCCAAAGAGCTTCAGAGAAAACATTAAATTATGATGGTGTGGTAAATTACAAAATGGTGCAGAAGTTCTTCTAATGTAACGTAATGATTTTGCACTGACTAAATTTTAAGCCTTCATGTAAGCTGACATGTGACTTGTTACATAACACATTTTATCTCCAACAGAAAAGGAAAAATCACCTTTATTGTATGTATATGAATTTGTGCCATTCTTTATTATTAGCAAGAGCTGGCAGCATAAAATTAGTTTATGTATGCACTCAGTTTCTGTTAAATAATGGTTAGAATTGGCTTCATGTGAAAGTTGTTAGCTTTGGGAGGGATGTTTTAGTATATTTCCTATAGTAAACTGACTCATAGTCATGTTGCATGCCACTAAAAATTCCATAAACACTACGTCAGTAGCAGAAACTCACAACTTTTCAGAAATTACGTTTCCCCTTTAAAGGGTTATCCCATATATTTTAAGTGAGCCATTTTGAGTGGTATTTTTTTTTTTTTAACCTGTTTCTATGAACATCTTATTTCCAAATTATTTTTAGGCCTTTTTTTTTTTTTTTTTTTTTTTCTGATTAAAAATAGAGATGTGAAAAACAATTTTTTAAAGTTGGGTTATACTATTTTTTATTATAACGAGTGTTTTGATTGATTGAAGAATCCACAATTTGTTAAGATGGAAATAATGTTTTAAAACTTAACAAAATTTTTCAAAATGAGTTGACATTTTTAATAGTAATTGAGCAGAAACAATGAAATGCGATAACAAACTCAACTGTGCTTCATATTAGTAAATCAAAATATGAATGAATTGCTAATTTTTTGCATTGTTTTTGCTGCTATTACTACAGATTTTTAGACATCATTAGTTTCATCATCTTGCTAATTTAAGTCATAACTGAAACTGGAAATCCTGATTTTCTTAAAATTGTTCTTAATCTTTATTGCAAAATCAGTTTCTGTGGCTCCATGATCTGTCTTTTTAAACTTGGACATCTTTTAAAAAATATATATATAATATGTATCTAAGAATATAAAAGTCAGGTACTGACCTTAAATCAATCCCTTGATCATCATGGACCTCCTTATAGCCCTTTTTCGTTAACCTCTAGGTGGCCAATACTCTTGGTGGGAACTTGTGATTTAAAGAGACAACCACGAATCCTTAGCAGGCAAGAGTATATAGAGTTCTTGAGTTTAAGAGAGATTTTTTGGCAGATATCACTCATATCCTCACATCTTGGGCATCAAATGTGGCTACTTCCATGGGGTATAAAAAATTTGATCCACATACACTAATTAACAGAGAAACTGATCTAAAATCATATAGCAATAAGATGTTTTTATGAAATATAATTGATAAACCTGTAGTTTTTCTAAAATACATTTTTAATGGTATTTTTATCTGGTTTCATTGAGTAGATAAAGATAAGTGGTTTTAGCACAAAAATGATGTAATGATGATTAAGAAAAAAGAGAGAGAGAAAAGTATATAAATACTTATAAAATAAAAAGCGAAGTAGGAATGAATTGGAGTTTCCTCATAAGGAAAAAAAAAAAAAAAAAAAAAAAAAAAAAAAAAAAAAAAAAAAAAAAAAAAAAAAAAAAAAACCTCTGAAAATAAAAAAAATGCTCTTACCATTAACTGAATTTTAATTAGTCTTTATTACTTTTGTACTGCATAAAGATCAGCATGATTTGACTATGATACCTATGATTTTTCCCAAACAGTTATTATTTCATACCATTGATTTCTCCAATAAAAATGGGGAAGAAGAATCTCAAAGCTTTCAGATTTTATATTATGCCCAAAAGGGCATTTTTTTAACATTTTGTATGTTACCTTTATTTATTAAATACCATATTCTTTGCATTTGAACCATAAAATTCAACAGCAATATCATAAAATAACTTAAAACAAGCATGTCTTTAGAATTTCTGATACACAGTCTTGCGTGCTGGTGATAAAAATGCCCCCTTCTCCCATACAGTGTTGCCATTGCTCGCTTTGAAGTTGTTGAGTTTGTGAATAAAAAT